TAATATTCTTAATACTATTAGCTTTACTACTTCTTAGTTTAGTTCTATTTAGTAAAAGTTACTCAGGGAGCACCATAAAAATCTTTATAATTTCACTTTCAAGATAGCATTTTACTTATTCAATAAAAACCCTTGAGAGTTTATCAATTTTCTAGCTTGTGTGGACAATCAAGGTCTTAAGTGTTATACTTAACACTTATTAGATGTAATGTCCAAGAAATCCAAGGTGCGTTGTTTAGGTTTTCTCCCCCAAAATCTCTAATGGGAGAAATGAACCTTATTTGTCAAATTTCATTCATACTAGAGCTAAAAGAATCTTACACATGGGATCTCACAATCCTACACCAAAACAACTCAATGGAGGATAAAATAAATAAAAACGAACCCAGTCTACTGCTGCCACCCTATATCATGGTCACTGTTGGGAGGTGATCAACCCAACTGCCATCATCAGTCTCCAAAGATCCAGATAATCATTCCCCAGAAACTCCACAGCAAACATGCCACTCGCCAGTGCAAGTCGTCCCTGTTGCTGCCTCTCGGTTTTTTTTAGATATTAAACTTTTTCTCAAATAAAAAGCGTAAGGTATATATTCACAAGGTACCAAAAAAAAGGGGTACCACCCCTCTTGCTGCCTCTCTTGATTCCGTATTTCTACAAGTCATGCATTACACTAACTTCCAATCTGAAACAGCCCCCTATATTCAAGTCAACTGACTAAAGATTGATGTCGTCCGATGATCAGAAGCCAGCTCGTGCACCCCATACGCGTACACCCACGAGTGAGCATTTTAATATTGTTCTTTGTTTTAACTTTTGAATTGGGTTTGACTAAATCGATTTACCTAGACTAGCTTCCCCCTCTCAGACCAGTGTTCGATAGTTCAAAACAATTTATTACCCTCTACTCTTTGTTTTGCAGTCTCTTCACAAAAGTTAGTGCAATAGAAAAAAGTTAAAAGATGTGGAATTGTAAGAAAAGAAAGATACATTTTACTTCAAAAAAAAAAAGGAAAGATAATGAGTCAACAGAGAATGATAGAATCGACAAGTCTTTCTTGACTGTAGTAAACACAACTATCCAAAATGAAGGAAAAAAAAATCTACGGTGTTCTCCAATTCTCCAAACTGTAGCCTGTTGTGAAAATAAAGATTAAAAACTTGTTATTTGTGAAGATTGTCACAAAAATCTTGTTTCAATATCTACAGTTGAATGACTCAATCTTTTTGTGCAACTACACCCTCAATCATACAGACTAGCGTAGGCAAATAATTTGAGCATTTTGATAACTCAGTAAAGTCTTGTTTTGTTCATCGTGATATTCACAATGATCCAATCTAGTGTGGTGTAATTCCTGTGATGTCCACACATTCTTCTAGGTCAACCTTGACTTAATGATCGACATGTTTACGAGATGAGACTATCAATACTTGTCATTTTATGCTCAACATAAAGGATGTAATTTTAAGATCCATGTCAACAAAGATGAATAAATACAAACGTTCAAAATACCTGGAATCAATGAAGAAGATAAAGAATATTGAAGTTGAGACAAAAAGAAAGAGTATCACGTCTTCCTAAGAATACAGATTTGAGATTGCTCAAGATCTTTTACTGCTTGAAGAAAATTCTATGGAAGTACAAAGCAAGGAGGAACCTAAACCAATAATTGGGTCTAATGATGTTCAGCTCGAGGTGAAGTGCAATGTCAAATTGGTAACTTTGTTGATTTCATTATCTGTCAGGATTTCGTACTCAAACAATTATGTATTTTTATTATGTTTAGTACTAAAGAACATGACCGAGCACAAATGTCGCTAAATTTTTATACGAAAACCCGAATAATAAGCTTTCACATTGGTTGTCACTTCAAAGCTCGTGGACCACTTTTCTTCAACCAGGGAAAAATAATACAAAACGGAGTAGCTATAGATAACCTGAATAGATTAGAACAAACTAAACAAGGTGTTGCTTGGAAAATGGATTTGGAGATATTGGAACGATAATCATAGCTTATGAAAACGGTTATCAATTGCAACTGGTATAATGGCAATCCCCTTGATCTTTCACATATTAAGAACAAGAACTATGGTTTGAGCTTGTGGATGAATATTATCAATATGAATGGTGTTGTATTGGGCTGCTCTAAAGGATTTATTGGAAATGGGATAAAAATTCGATTTTGGGAAGATACTTGGTGCAGTACCGAGAAACTCACGGACAGATTCCCTCTTATCTATGCTATAGCTATGAACAAAGCTGCTACTGTTAGGGAAGCTGCTGGTTTTGATTGTGTTTTCCTGGAATGTCCCAGTTGTGAGGAATCTTAATGATTAGGAACTTGAACGGTATGAATCTTTACTTCTCACTTTGGCCAGCATCAATCTTAATGACAGAGATGACAAATTATTGAGGAACCTCAAGAAAAATGGTCTTTTCTCCATCAATTCGCTGTTTTGTTTCTTTGATGGTCACCACCAGAATAGTTCAAGAACTTTTCCTTCCAAGATCAACTGGAAATCTGGTGCTATTCCAAGGATTTCTTTTTTTGCCTGGGAGGCAGCCAAGGAGAAGATACTCACCTTGGACAACTTGATGAAAAGAGATCACATAATGGCCGATAGATGTTTCCTTTGTAAAAATGCCTTGGAAACCTGCAATCACCTTCTTTTGAGTTGCCCAACTACTCATAACCTTTGGAATACGATTCTTGGATTGTTGGGAGTTTCTTGGGTTATGTCTAAAAATTTTTATACCAAATTGATAGCCTGGGAGGGACTTGGCATAAGAATAAATCTAGAAGACTCATTTCCCTTACCATTTTTTGGGTCATCTAGAAGAAAAGAAACAACAAGGATTTTGATGGAATTGAATCTGATTTCAACAAAATCAAGGATAACCGGTTTTGCTACTTTGGTTCTAACTTATTAGGGCATAACTTTGATTGTTTTGAAAATCTAGGTGACAATGTAGATATACTAATTAAGTTGTAAATTTTGTACATGAGCAGTGCTCCGTTAGCATCTTACTCATACTTTTATTTCAAAAAAAAAAATTAAAAATTTTAATTATATTAAATCTAAAACTACTATAGTATTGAGAAGTCTATTATTATAATTTTAATCATTTAAGGATTTTATTCTTATTAATACTTAGTTTTTCTATTTGCTTTTCCATTTCTTATTTGTATGAAGATTAGTATTCTTAATATTATTTGTATTAGTTTTCTACCTAGGAGTAGTATTCCTAATCTTATTAGTTACACTATTTCTTAGCTTAATCTTATTTACTAGAGGTTATTAAGGGAGCATTATAAATATACTTCCTAAGACAGTATTCAGTTATTCAATAAAATAATTTAAGAGTTCCTTAATTTTCTGGTTATTAATATAATCAAACTCTTAAATGTGATGCTTAAGATTTTTTAGATGTATGTCTATAGGTGTAATATCTAGGTTTTTATTCATCAATCCCTAAGTGGAAAAATCAATCCTATTTGTAGGTTTTGGTGACACATGGAAGACATGGATCAATTGGTGTTTATTCTAAATCTCCTATACATTTATTGTTAATGGTGAGACGAAATACTAGTTTCGCGGAAGAGGAGAGTTAGACAAAGGGATAACATATTCCCATTTCTCTTCACAATCATGGGGGATCTTCTTAGTCGTATGATAACCCATGATTGTCAATGGGGCTTGGGGAAAGATCATTCCTTCTTGAAGAATCAGTTTCAAGTTAACATCACCATTGAAGAAAATGATGGGTCAAGAGGGATCTAATGTTGAGAATGCTTTAAAGGTTGAAACAAAATCTGCTGAGAAAAATCGAAAATTGACAACATGTTGCCGGCCCATCCAGCTTCACCAGCTAGAAGTTCCAAGGAGCAAGTCACTCGGTTCATTTCTGTTATTTCCATTAACTGTCTTCTATTGAGTTGTATTTTTTTAAAATTCTTTAACAGCATTGCCCCCAGCTTCTTGCGAGCTGTTAGAGTTTATTAGACCAACTGGCTAGGTGTACGGATCTTTTGAGGATATTCATATAATCAATCAAAATACCTAAGCAAGAATTCACCAAACTTTCTCTCTACTTTTCTACTCTCTTTTCCCTTTTCACTTCCTCATCTTTCTTCTTCATCAAACTGTGTGATTAAGTTCCTCATGTTTTTTGTTTGATAAAATAAGAAAGTAAGGATAAGAAAGAAGCAAATACAAGCATGGAGGGTGTTGATCCTCCTCAAATAAAGTAAAACTGCAAAAATAAGCAATATAAACAATCACATAATTACAATAACAAGCAGGATATAGATAATAGGTCCGTAATTGCGTTGAAGCACGTCGATCCCAATATGAGGGAAATGTCCCTGTGCCTTGTCCCACAAGGTTGTCATGAAGGTAGTCTCATCCCAAAGCTCATCAAAGAAAGTAGTTACAGTCTTGGAAAATTTGTTGGTTTCTTGCTAGCCAAATGCACCATAGACCGGTTAAAATCGTCTGTCACCACAAGGGTCGACCTTCATTTCTCAATCCTTCTCCCTACATATTGGAGGGAAAAAAACTTCCCACCATAGGAGGCACCACCCAAACCAGGCCAAACAATCTCAAGCAGTTTTGTCCATAACCTCTACACTAAGTTGCAATGTACGAAAAGGTGAGAGTGGGTCTCACCACCTCTAAAGCACATTAAGCAGATGTCTGGAGACAAGTCATGATGAGGGCAACAGAGTTGGAGCATCTTATTTGTGTTGATCCCCTGATGGACGGTTGTCCAAGAAAATATTCTAACCTTTGAACGTATTGAAGCTTTCCAAAAAATATTGGCCATGTGGAAAGGAGAGTGACCCAGGTGTTTTACAAGGTGAGATTAAGTTCCTTACATATAATGGTCCTGACAATTACATTCCTAGTTAATTTTCATGAGTCTTTGAATATCTCCATAATAACAGAAAGTACCCTCCCCATGCTTCGGACATAATTCTCACTCACAAATAAGAATTAATATATTATCCCAAAGTAATCAAATAGAGACGGGATAGCTAGAGGTAGCTAGAAAAAAAGAAGTTGAAAACTTAACCTAAGTGTAGTTATAAAAGAAGTGCCAAGCTACAGAGAACATTACAGGAAACAAGCTAAATGCACTTGAAAAAGAAAAATAAAATAAAATCAGATACCTGTAAAGAGAGCCAAAAGCCAAAGTGTCTGGATCAGGGTGAGTATCGAAGTAATAATCCTTTGCGGGTTTAGTAAGGGAATCAACCCGAGCCCTAACATTGGATTTTCCCGAACCAAAATCAGAAAATTCACTATCTCCCTCTCGGGATCGCTTCCTCTTCGACCTTTTGGTCTTATTCTTTTCCTCTCTCTTTTCCTTCATAGTATCTCTATCGGAATCGGAAAATTTCTCGTCTCCTTCCACGGATTCTTCAACAAAATGGTAGGAACGTGAAGACTTAGCTTCATAGTCTTCATTCTGCTGTTCTTCTCCTCCTCTTTCTTCTTCTTTTTCTTCTTCTTCTTCTTCTTCTTCTTCATGCTCCCTCACTGCCTGGGCCACGACAGAGAGGTCAGTGGTGAAGCTTGTGTTGGAAAGCCATTGAAGAGTGCTTGAAGTACCCGAGACCTCAGCACCAGCTGGGAAGAGAGGGAAGAGAGACGATGTCGTTCTTCGTTCCTCTGGTTCCGATTTATTCTCCATTTCGTAATTCCACCAAAACCTTATTCTGCGCTGTATTTAAACTAGCGGTTTTCTTCTACACTGAAAAAAATGTAATTAGTAAAATAGCAAATTATCAACATATAAAAATATGCATCATTATATTTTACCTTCTACTATATTATTTAAAGGAATAAATTATTAAATTAATTTTTTAATTTTAGAAATTAGTATAATTTAATTTTTCATAATTTTTATTATAATTTAATTTTTAATATTTTATTCTTATTTGAAAAGTTTAATTTTTGTTATTTTAAAAAAAATTAGAATAATTACGGTATGTTTTGAGATTTTAAAAAAATATATTAAAATTTAAAGTCTCTAAATATAATTTAACCATTTTAACTTCTTTTATTATAAAGTAAGTTTCATAAAACTAATTTAGTTATTTATCCTATTTAAAATTACAAAAATATTGCATTATCAAAATTATCGGAGTCATCATATATTATTCTATATTAGAAAAGCAATATCCTTATTTACAAAATAATATATAGTTTACTATCTTTATCTTATTTTGTTATATTGTTGCATTAATTTTGTTGTTATTTACTAATACGATATTAATAATACTCAAAATATTTTCATCTACTATTTAAAATACCTACAAACATTAATCATTAAAAAAATTCTATGTTGGTATCATATCATATCATATTTTGTCTTACTAATTATTTATTATATATTTTAGACCATTTTTATTATTTTTATAAAACAAATAATTGGCAGTAAAAGGTTCAATCTCCTTATAAAGTCAAAAGTTTTTTTAACTATTGATTTAG